TGCAGTTGACAATGGTCAATGTGTTTGGACACTTTCCTACACGTTTCTTGGCTCATCCTCTCTTTGTCCTCTCTGTGATGTCCATCCTTGTTTATTTATTTTCCCATTCCTTGTTTTCCCCTTTACCTCTGCATTGGCCCTTCTTGTATTTGCTGTTATTGTGTGGGCCTTCACTTTCCATATTCACCACCTGTGAGTGACATCCATTCCTTTCTTTGACTGTATACTTGTTAACTAATTCTGGGATGTTTTCTTTTCTCCTACTTCCCTCTTTTTACAGTAGCTACTCAGATGAGGAGGGATTGTCTTGTGATCTGAGTCTTCTTACATTTACTCAGTGTTGGATACTTTTGGACATTTCATTCTTCTCTCATCTCAACAGAGTTTAACATATCTCCTTTGCCTGCAAAATTTGGTTTATATAGTCACTGAGATTTACACATGTTCTCTCCCTGTGTGAGACATTCTTTCCTTTTTTGAGACTCTGGCTTCTCTAGAACCCCTCTTTATTTGGGGCATGACTATGTATTTCCTACAGAGTACCTTATGGACTCTGGGTTTTCTTTATTGGGGTCCTTTGTTCTCTTTTATGACTGGATCATGCCCATACTACTTTCTACATTTATTTACCACCTCTGAAATTATTCAGTGCTCCTCTTGGGGCAAGTCTTCTGATGTTTGTAAGTTGGGCTAGTGTCCATTCTCAATCAATTTTCTCTACCTTCACTGTTTGTCTGCATGTTCCCATTTCTGCTCCTGTTGGTGGTTCATTTTGTCATGCTCCACTCAATCTTTTTTCACGGCCTTTCTTTGTGACTATTATTCTTGGGCCTTTTTGTTTCGGGGTGATAACTATACACTTCTGTGACCATTTGCATCCTTTGCTGGGAGCTTCCTTCTTGTTGGTGAGCTGCTTCTCTCCACTAATCCTTATTCTGTTAATAGAGTATCCTCTGCATTCTTCAGATCTTTCCATGGGGTTTACTCTTAGTTGGACACTTTGCCACCCTTTTACTATGGGTGGGTAGATTCCACCCAGCCCATATCCCCCAAAGTAACCATAAGGCAGTTACACTATAACTTTTTAAAATGTACATGTATATTCATGAAATTTTGCAGACTATCAGTAAATATTACAAGGCATTTATATACAAAATATCAATTATTTTTTCTTAAAAGATAGAACAACAAATAAAGAAGTATCAAAAATAATAATCTCATCTACTTATGAACTTTATACTCATTTGCTGCTTGCCTTGTAAACCTTGTAAATTTTGCACATTGAGGATGTGAAACAATTTTTTTAGGTTTGATATATATGCATTTTGAACTAACAAAAATATCATAAATTACTATATCAATACCACAGAATTCACTATAATTTATCAGGCTTGTAACTAAGCTGTATTTGGGTCTCAAAAAAAAATTTTTGGGGCCCTCTAATGTCTTACCATGATTCTATTATTAAATGAAAGGGTTTTCTGCATAAACACTTTGCAGAAGCTGAAAAAACAAAAACCATGTGGGGGACATTCTGAGCTTTTGATTGGTTATACACGAGTCAATTGGTAAAGTCGGTGTACGTTAGCAAGTATTTCAAAAAATGGAAGAGGTGGGCAGGACCACCTTGGTTGATTCACTAAATATATTAATATCTCAGAAAATAGAAAAGATAGGTTCTTATCTTATATTCTATCCTGTCAATATCAGTAATTTGAGTTTTTAATTCATTAAAAATTATAGTATTTGTATTTGAACATCACAAACATCTAATTTTAACCAAAGCTGCATTCAACATACCATGTGAGACACAAAATTCAATATTTAGGATTTTTTAAATATTTACCCTTAATTTAAGAAATTAGCTAATGTATAATACTAAAATTTGAATTATAATTGACAATTTGATACCAAATTTATTGACATACATTCATAAAATAGTAGTTTAAAAATGTTTTGAATGTAAGTCTACAAATGTAATAACATGCCTTTTGACCCCTGACCATGGGAAGACCTGTCTTGCTAGGGTTAATTCAGGCGTTTTCTCTTAGTCATGTATTCCACTTTCTTCAGTTCTGGCTGTTGTTTTTTTATCCAGGCCTGGTCTTGCCTTTCTCTCTATATCTACTCTCTTATTTGTTTCATCCTTCTTGAGCCCTCTTTGACAACTCTGTTTTAATACATTTAGTAAACAGTCCTACCCTCACCATAATCCCCTATCTTCCTTGGTTTGCACGGTCTCACTTCACTTCTTCACTGAGGGTTATCCTCCTTCCACCCTCACGCATGGAATTTGCATGGTGAGTCATCTAATGGACTGAACTTTCCACTTCTGTGGCATTATTTTTTTGTCACATTCTTCTCATCCTTCCACTGTATTTGTCTGTTGTCATTGGTCTGTCTGCCACTCATTTGTTCCATGCGGTAATACTGTGCACCACCTTTCTACCTCTCTTTTCAGCTTGTTCATCAAAGGATCTTGGTGTCAGCCTTTCTTATTTGTCAGGTAGCCATGTTCTTGGCTTTTCTCCTTTCTTAGTACCAAGACATGTTTTCTTACCCTATCCTCTTCATTCTGTTTCCATCTTTCACTCTCCTTTGTCCCCTTTGCTCTGCTCACTTACTTGACTGAGACCTTGTTTTGGTTTTACTCGATATCGTGAATAAGGCATTTGAGCTGTTGTCTTCCTTACTGTGTTTCTCTCCTATATTCTTCCCTTCTCTGTATTTCTTATGTTTTCTGTTCTGATGTCTATCCTCTAGATACTTCTCACACTCTTCCATCATACTTCTCTTTTCCTCTCCGTGGACCAATCCTTTATATCACCTTTGATTGCTCAGAGGTAAACCATACATCTCGGGATGTTGATGCTTGCATTCTATTTGCCACTCTTTTCATTCCACCTCTTCTTTGCTTGCCATTGGCTGATATTTTCCAGGCAGTCATGTTCATCTTTATATTTATACCTTTTAGCTTTTTTTTATCTCCTGACAGTTTTTGGCTTCCACTGGTTGCTAATTCTTCCATTGCCTTACTGTCTTTGAATAGAATCTGCACCATTTCCCTATCAGGAATCCCTTTTTCATTCAGTAGGATCCCAACAGATTGCTAGTGTTCCCTTCCAGGGTATGCCTACACAAAATACAAATTGAGCAAGGATAACAAAAAGCTTTTATACCATCTGCCCTGGCTCTACATGTGCCCACTGTAAAATGGGATGTTCAGCAAGACCTACTACATCACAAACATACCTCACTCCCACAGCTGGCAAGGAGCCTTTAGAGACTGATGATCATGTAGAGATGTATATAAGTATCCATACTGAAACAATTTCATACAGTGCCTTCCTCCTGCAGCTGGCATGAGGTCTGTAAAAATTGACAATAGAGGAGGTGAGTGCAGATATTTATCACAAGTGCTCTTCTCCCATAGCTGATTTTGACCTGTTGAGTCTGGTAGGAGGTGAGCACACAAAATATGATCTGAACAAGCTTCATCCTCCCTATGCATATTGGCTGTCAGACTTCTTTTGGGCAATTACACGGATGACCATTTAGCAATTCTACCCATCGAAGTGACACACAAGTCTTGCTTATTTGCCTCACTTCTTTCCTATGCAGGTGAAGAGTATATATCCTCGCTGAGGTGAGATGCAGTCTCCCATAGATGTGCCCCTATAGAGCTGTTGTCATTAGGTGTCACACTCCACGTGCTTCCTTAAGGGGGTTCATCTAGATAATCTTTGCATTGGTCCCTTCACCATCTGAAAGTGGGATTCTAGCTAAACTGTGCAAAGAAGTGGATATGTATTTTAGAAGTTAACATTTCCCCACCTGAAAATGTATTTCTGATAGATACTTGTCTTTGCAAATACTCCCACCTATACTCCCCATTTCCAGTGCACAACTGTTACTTATTTGAAGAATGAAGATTTATTAGTAGGGGGAGTAAGTGTGCGTGAAGGTGTCACCTTTCTTCTATCTATGGAAGGCTTTTGTTGCATGATGATCTCATCATGCAGTAGTATAAACACATGGAATTAGGTGGGAGTTTTCACAAGGCTAGTGGCATACAAATTTCATTGGCAAAACATGTGGAAGAGTTGAGGAAGATAGTTAAACTGTGTTAAGAGGTAAGTATATATATCAGAAATGTATTCTTGGGTAAGGAAAATGTTAACTTTCCAATATTTTTTTCAATTGTTGACAAATCATGCATGCCTAGTTAGTACCCATCATAATAATCAAGGTCAAGTTAAATTTAACTCTTCATATCCATCTGGCTGATATATCGATTGTACATGTTGTCAGAATTGATGTTATATTTGTGTAACTCTTCACATTGTTTTTTATAATTATAATTAATCTAACTACATTAGTATACAATAATAACAGTGTAAATTGTTTTTTATAATTATAATTAATCTGACTATATTGGTATACAATAATAATAGTGTAAATTGTTTTTTATAATTATAATTAATCTAACTACATTAGTATACAATAATAATAGTGTAAATTGTTTTGTTTTTTATATTGCAGTAGATCAGTTTACTGTTTCATAGTTTTCTTTAAAGGTGTTGTTCTTTCAATGCATTGATGTTTTCATTACTTCTAAGTACGTTTGGAGCCTCATTTTTCAATAAAAGCCATGAAGCTGCCATTATATATCCTACTAAAAATAATTCTGCTTCGTTGTATTGTTTAGTATAAGTGCTATCAGGATTGTCCACTTTAGGTATAAAAAGTTATTTTATTTACATTAAAATCATAACATACCTCTAATAATTCCCCTTTTATTTTTAGTGTAATTGATACCATTTGTTGATGCTATTGACAGTTGTACTTGTTTTAGTTTAAAGATAGTGTAGTGTTTAAATCTTGTAATTTCTCACATTTTTAAAGATTACCATCCTTCAAAGTCATCTGATAATAATGCTAGTGTAAATATCTTTTAATGAAGTTCATTTTTATAAATGTTTTTGTGTCCACTTTTGTAGGCTGGTTTCAGGAGCAGGGGATATAAAAATAACGAAAGATGGGAATGTCCTTCTGCATGAAATGGTTGGTGAATCATTTATTCTTATTTATTGAAAAACTGTTTGTAAAATCTGAAAGTAATATTATCCAATGCCTTAGATAAGCTTTTTACATAATAAGTATTATTATTATTATTTATCTTATTTATAATTTTTTTTTTGAAATAAACTTTGTGCTGAAAATTTTCATCTTTTTAGGATTTCATTGACATTTTGGTACTGATTTGCTGACTTTACTACATTATTTCTCTTCTTATTTCTGTATTAGCATCTTATTAATAACCACCTGAAGCAGGTAGTTTAAGTTCAATACTGTAAGCACTTTGTTGATGTCAATTGATAGAATTAGACTGGTATATTTTTCAGTTCAACAGTAACTCTGAAGAACAGGTAATGCCAGCTGATAATCACTTTATAACTGAATAGACTTTATCTCTCCATATGGGTGGGCAACACAATCTCCTTGTGCAGTACTCCACTTGAGCACTTCTTGTGTACCAAAAACTCATTTGCCTCAGCATTGCAGTGTTTGGCTGGGTGTGTTTCCTACCCATTAAGAATAATGGAATTTTTGCACTTATTATTTTGAATTTTACATTCAAAGTATTATCTCTTATCTCCATTTTTAAAATTTGTTTAAATTAGAGCATTTGCTACAAATTATTATATTTTCTTATATTACTTTGATTCCTTCTGTTAATCAAAGGACAAGATTTTGGGGCATGTGTTCCATAGGTCTGTAATATTGGTTCCTTTGAAAGAAATATTAATCATCTTTAACCCAGTTATTGGGTTTCAGTAGAAGCTAGTGTTTACTCTTAATTTTGTCAACATGAAAATTATAAAGGCCTAAGTAACATGGACGTACCAGACCAAAACAATGAATGACATAGTGGTCTAATGTAATATTCGATTTGCTACTTTGTATGCATGACCCAATAATTTCTCAGAATTGCAGATCTTAAGTATTGCATGGGAGACCAAGCCAAAGAGATAGAGTAGGCTATGTAACATATCTGTCAATTTACAATGAGAATGATCTCCTGTATTTGTTTTACTATTAATACAGGTTTTTATTTTCTTCAAACTGGTGGATACGCACACTTGAATGATATTCATACTGACAACCAAACAATTGTTGTTTGGTTCTCAAATGTGTGTATACTTGGATCATAAAATAGAATGGTTTCATATTTGTAGCATGTAATATTTAAGAAAAATGATTATTCAATTAGAGAATATAAAATAACTTAATCCTTTCACCACCAAGTTGACTTCTAGAGGTCTTCACTCATTCAAAGGGTAAATATTTAATGTTGCATTAAAAGTTTAGGTTATGTATTTTAATTCAGTGGTCATTTTTAATTCTATTCTATATAAATAATGTTTCTAATTCTGGATAGCATTTTATAACCTTTCAGCAAATTCAACACCCTACTGCTTCTCTCATTGCTCGGGCTTCTACTGCACAGAATGATATTTCTGGTGATGGTACTACCTCCACTGTATTGGTCATTGGAGAACTCCTAAAACAAGCAGATCTTTATATATCTGAGGTAAGAAATGATTTCAAGCTGGCATAATAGAATCGTTTTTCTGAACACATTTAACCCTCTTGTTACATATAGGGTAAAGTACGCATGTCATGAACTTTTACAGTTACATTCAAAAGTTAAACTACTTTATAATAAATGTATATGTTATCAAAACATACTTAATAAATAAAATTTTGATATTATATAGATATAAAGTTTTTAATTTTATATGTAAATATTTTTAAAAATCCTCAATTTCACCTAGTGTGAGAATTGACATTTGTTCTCTAGGCTTTCCCTTTTCTCTAATTTATTTACTACCCGTCTTTTTAGAGTATGGAATTTAATGTAAATTACTTATTATAGATATTACTAAGGCAAAGTCTAATTTTTATAAACTTCAATCTTTTTTGTTCCAAAGACATAAACTATAAAGTCAGATCAACTACTTGCCATGCCCACCTGTCACATCCTCTTACAATCTGCCAGTAATTCTCTCTGGCATATTATAACATTTATACCCAGTAGAAAGACAGTTTTAATCTATCAAATAACATGTTGTTTTCAGTGCAGAGTACTGTGTATTTCGTTTTCAGTTTGAAAACGTTTCTCATGGTGGTCAGATAGAGAAATCTTAATCCATAAGAAAGCCAGTTAAGTTGTAATAGTTCTAGGACATTGTTTGCTTTGTGCATGTTATTATTCTATGTTCTTAGGTGCATTATTTAAGTAAATATAAATTATTTAGTGTACTAGTACAACCAATATTTAAAAAACAAAGGGGGCTTATATTTCATTGGAAACTGACAGCAAAAAACAAGGTCACAGGTAAATGCTATTTTTCATGTATATTTTTAATTTATTGTTAAAAGTAACTGAAATTTGAAATTTATTAGGTTAGATTATATAAAGTAGTGGGGAAAAAATTGCATTAAGTATGCTCACGAGTAGCTCAAATATTATGTAAATTGAGCAACTTATTCACTGAGTGATTTACAATTTGTATGGCAGGGTTATTAATTAGACATGGTTCAAAGGGCAATAAAACAAATTTGATACAAACAAATGTTATGAGCCTTAAGCTATTTAGCATAAACAAATTTGGTTTCAGTTTGCAGTCATTCTAGAAAGACAATTTATTTTTGTATTTTTTCATAATGGTTACAAGGCTGGTCAAATCAAGCGAGTCCATATAGAGTTAGGTTAGAGAAACTAACAGGTAAGATATAAAGTTTTATTGAAAAAAAAAGTTTATTTATTTAGGAGGTTTTAGAGGTTAAATGAAATTTGAAAATTTTTAGATGGAGAAAAGTGTTTTTAACATAATATGAAAAATCACTTTGCACTCGTAGCAGTCAACACTCTGACTTTATATATTGACAGACAAATCTTTAGTAAAAATACTTCATTGAAAAAAATTTTTTTGTATGTCTTTATGCGAGAGACTTGTAATGTTTACTGGTTTCCTGCCAAATTTTGTGTAAATGAATGTTCCATATTAAAAGTTATAGTATACAAACTCTGATGGTCACTTTTGGGTTATAAGGTTGGTGTTAGTCTAATCCAACAACCCCATATGGAACAATTAATAAACAACCAAAATACAAAATGTTTATATTGAATATAAAAATATACATTTCCCTGAAATGTAATATATATTATAATATTTAATACTATGAGCTGTATGTTACTCAACTAATTATTGGACTTGGGTTATTATTGTGATTGAAAATATGCATTGTTAGCTACTGAAAAAAAGATTAACCCCATGTGAATGGGGTTGTTCCATTTAGCTGAGCCCACATTAGGTATTTAATGTTTACTATAATTCCACGTTAACTGAATGTATCTTAAGAAAATTTGGTAAGCAATACAAGTATGTTATTCACAAAAATGTATCACTATTAATGATTTGTCTGGATTTTCTTAGTCACTGACTGAGACTTTACTAGTCAGAGTTTAAAAGTAGGTACTTTTTTTCATTTTACAGTTTTTGTATTTTATTTTCATAACTTTTAGAATCTCCTCAATGAATATCAAGTTTTTCAGTAAAACTTTATATAATTTATCACTTGTTTTCTCAATCCTAACACAAATTGTAATGAAATCATCAGTGCAAAAGTTGAAAAATGATCTGAAATCAGAAACTCAGTTTTTATTCTAGAATGATAGCAGATTGTGACAGTTACAATTATTTATCCTAACAATTTCAGATCTCTAACCTTTTCAAAATTACTTTCATTTTTAATTTTATTGCTTGATTGTTTTTTGAACCATATATAACAACTAAACTATAGTAACAAAGCAATAAATCACCTTGCCAGAGCTTAGTGCAAGCTACTGTAAATAAAGTATTGAATTACATCACAGATGAGCAGCTGTGCATTCTCTACAGATATTTGTTTTTTCTTACGTAACCTAATAAGGCTATTTTTTTACATTTTAGTCACCTTTATAGCAACAAATAAAAAGCAATTCATAAAAAAAAAAGTTTAAGTAGTTAAATCTG